ATCACAAAAGAATCCTGCGACGGAAGTCCCGAACTAGATATTTCTTCGTAATACCTGAGTCCTTCAATACTTTTACTGGCCGTGAAGCTTCGCCGTAACTCCATGGGAGAGCCTCGTACGCTGCGAGCGGTGGCCGCGGGGCGGCACTGCATCACCACGCGGAAAAGCGATGGAGAGAAACGGGGGAAGAGCGTTGGGCTAGGAAGGTTTTTAGCTACTTGTACAAGAAGAATGTCTATACAAAATAGAGGAAGCGAACCAGGAAATTGACTGGTAAATACTTAGAAAACAGCAGGTGGCCAAACCCAAAAGAACTATCTGTTAAGAAGAAAGTGAGGGAAACGGAGAATGACACTTGGAGAATTAGCATGATTAAGAAGTCCGCACTAGAGATCAATCAAACTTTTAAGCAGGAAATTGCCAAGGAAAGGATCTATGGTAATACTCGGGGTAGTTCTCTACTGTTTGAGGTCAGGACGGGAGTATTGCGAACCAAGTCATATCGGGCCAAATACGAAGGGGTAGACACAGTATGCAGTGCGTGTGGAGAGGAAGAAAAAATTGCCGAACACTTGATAATGTTCTGTAAAAGGCGTCACCCTATAGTTCAGGATGATAGCGCAGAGTTTTTCAAAGCACTGGGGTTTAGGGACAAGGAGGGCAAAATAGTCTTTAAGCGGGTAGACTTAACTAGAAGGAGGTTATCTGATTGGTGGCTAAAGTCAAGGCACGAGTGAAAATTAAACCCTTCACTGCAAAGTACGAATCCTCAAACTCACTTTTAAAAAAATCTAGTTTTTGGTTTATTAAGTATTACGGCTTGATGGCGCTAGCCGCCGCCCGATCTAAAGGGTACAGCCATATCCATCCATGCATCCATCCATCCATACATCCATCCATCCATCCATCCATCGGGCAGACTGGAGAGAAGCTGGCTGCTGGTGCCGCTGTGGGTCAATGCATAACATTCCGGTGTGCCATCGCGTAGTTTTTCCCCGCATGATTATTATTCTGCCTAGTGTCCTGTTCCTAAACAAGGGAAAGATACCGTATACCTGCTGGATACCTGGTTGTTGATCCGGTTACAAAAGAAATAACGATAAAGTCTCCGAGTTTTCGCTACCTAAAGTGCTCGGCGGGAAAAGAGTAAGTGCGCAATGCCTTGACAACTGGTGGTTTCACATTTGTTTCCCCGAATGTGCGCGTGTGGGAAAAGCACTTCGATGAGAGTGACATCGTTCGCATGGACCAGTTGCTAATCTGAGGTGTTGTTGTGAAGTCACCGCGTGACGTTTCGAAACTTTAGCTTTTACCGAGGATTTTCCACGGCCTCACGGCGTATCGCTATAGTGCAAAAAGATGCAGAGCTCGCCTGCTTACGAGCGTCGACAGAAGCCGTCAGCGAGCTGAGTGCTGTTGCGGCTACATTAGACTGTGCATGAGCCCTCTTGACATAGCTGCATTGAATAATGACGCATTTATTGAAGGTGAGCATGCCTCTGTCTTGTTCCATGTCAGTAGGTAATACGGAAGCCCGATGAGTGAATTGCTCACCGTTTTGTTTATACAGGCACTGAGATGACCACAAGAGGTGGTATGCCGAACAGGCGGAGCTACATGCAGCTCCTCACAGCTTGAAAAAATCAAAGCACGCATCTGTGCATGCAACAGAGACTTCAGCGCTACCAATAAAAGAATTGCGAGGGTGACGGCGCAAAAGAGGTTGCACCACAATGCTGTACAGTACTTGCGCAAGCTGTAAAAGTGTGAAACGGTAATTTTCAACATCAATGCGTCATGAGCACAAGAAAATAACTTTTTATGTCTCAAATTGACCAACTGCGTTCGGCGCGGGACGTGGTCGGTCAATTATCACGTTTGAAGAGACGTGTAAGGCTTTAGTTTTTGTAGTAAAAGCACTAAAGAAGGATAGGGAAAACACAGCATCAGTAAGCTACACAGCACAGTGAAGGACCAAGAAGTGCATTGCATGGCTAACTGAGCTTAGACTGCGCTATAGTATACGGCACCGTATACTGATAAATGGCAAAACAAAACACCCAAACTAAGCAAACCTCATATAAAGTATTGCTTGATCCTCATCACTTGCTAAACTGAAAGCACTGTTTCATTGAAAGTGGCGGTTGGTTTAATGAGTGCAAGGCAATTTTGAGATACTATCTTCGTATATAAAAACACCGAGTATGTATATCGTCTGGAAGGTTCAATATGCGCTGTCAAAAGTTGCAACCACTGCACTTCCGTGACGCGTTAAAAACCACCTGAGTCGTTGAAGAACTCTGAATTGTACACAGATGTTCACTAGATGCTTATAAAAAAATAAGCATGCTTTTATAGCAGTAGCATATCTTACAGTGTAATCAGTATTCCGTCGAATTTTTGCTTGCATCAAACCCTCCTTCGACGCCTTATTTCACTGTATTAGACCTTTCCTGAATTTACTTGAAGCTAACATCACTCTGACGATTTATTCAACTTACACGGCTACATTGAATGACGTTCCACAGCTCCGGCACGTGCCATACAATTGCAGCGCCACGGCTGCTCCAATGCCCCGCTGTGGACGAGGGCGCCCTAGTGGTTCTTCATGTCTGTATATTAAAATTTCACCGAAGCTTTATGACCAGTAAATGTATTGAAGGACTGAAGGACTCTGGTAGTACACTTAAAGCAGCGACTTTCTTTCATGAGCATACAACGCTTGTCTTCGAAGCTGACGTCACTAGGGCATCGATCAGTCTCATGGTCTTTGGCAGCACAAAAAACCATGGTTCTGTTAATGCTTCTGCCTTATTTTGAAGACCCCTTGCCACAGGAACTGTTGTGACACTTGAGTTTGAATTTAGTTTTGGGTGTGCTTCGTTGAGCCTTGTTACCCTGGTCTGAGCGCACGTTTCTCTACATTGAACTTCTCCCTGAAGAAATTTCAGCAGGTGCTCTAAATGCTGTTCAGCTGAATCCGCACCACTAAGTGTGGCTACCAATGAGGTATTGGACTCGATGCTTTTGCTCTTGTAATACTCTACTGCCATATCCTGAGGTATCACTTTGAGGAGTTCGCATAACATTGCAGCGTAAGATGAAGCGCTCACTCCAAGGTTGGCGAGTCCTCTTCGGTTAAGTTGAACGTCTTCGGATAACTTCCGTAAGGCATCAACGTTGTACAATGAAATCACCGGCCCAAGCATGCGTAGGTTTTCAAAAAGATTTCTGCTCGAGCAACTTGCGGTTGCCATAGCGCTGCTTTAATATTCCAAGTGCGTCGTTGTAACTCGATTCCGTCACTTGGATTCCAGCTGGATGGGTCGATGGATTGATATGGCTGCACCCTTTAGATAGGGCGGTAGCTAACGCCACCAAGCAGTAATACCTAGTGAACCAAAAACAAGATTTATTTTTTTCCTTTAAATTGAGGTTGAGGACTGATACTTTGCAGTGAAGGGTTTCATTTTCACTCGTGCCTTGACTTTAGCCACCAATCAGATAACCTCCTTCTAGTTAATTCTAATTCTAGTTAATTCTGATAAGGCTATGGCCTTATCAACAGCTCCCTCTAGCAGAGAAACCAGGTAACTGAAGCTGTCTGTGTGAGACAGTCTCGGGTTCTCGAGGACAGAATGAAGAAACATATCCCAGAACGGTTGCCATTGGATGATTGTTCCGTCGAAACGCACCAGTTCTAGCTAGCGCAACCTGGCGCCAAATTCATGCTGTGAACGTGTCGTATTCGTTAAGGTTGAAGCAGGTCGATTCCCGTCGGCTACGGTCAGTGGATTCGTTGTCGGAAGCGAAGAAGAAAAGTCTTTACCATGTCAGTATTATTGCTCGAGCAAGGTCAACGCGCTGACTGCAGTTTCGTCGTATTCTATGATGCAATCATCATCTTCTATGACTTGCTTGTCGGTCATGACTGCTTCCCAATCGGCGTTGAGCTCGTTCAACTCCAGATTCGTCGCCTTTAACGCAGCCTGCAATACACGAAGCGCGGAAAGTTCGAACTGCCCGGACTGAAGGACCTCGCTTACCTCGTTCATGACCTTCGTGGGTTGTACTCGGCGAGCGGCCCACTTGTTTTTGGTCCGTTCCACGACGGCTCGATGGAGAAGCCTCTCCCAAAAGAAGCCACAAGTAGAAAAAGCGCTGGCTGACTTTCCTGGTTGTTCGACACCAAAAAGATGTAGGAAACACACTAAAGGGACACTAAAGTCATGTGACAGTTTATGTCAGCGTGAAATCTCAATGTATTACGACGTCTAAAACGACAATATTATACAGCAGTACCTTACTTACCGGGAAAATAGGGTGAATACATTAAAACGCATATACTACAATATGACTTTTGTAAAATGACCCCGGTTACGTCAAAGGTACCACCTACAACTATTCACTAGTAATCGAACTACCTTCACTAAATAAAGAACCTTCCGTGTATCAAGAGACGTAATAAAATGCTGCTTGTTCGTTTCTGTTTGATTCATGGAAAAAAGGGCCGCCAGACGTTGCTAGGAGAAATGGTGTGAGCGGTTCATAACTTCAATTTTCACCTGGTAAACCTGAGCAGGTTGTGTCATCCTGTGAGATCAAGTTGAACCAAAACACGTCTGCCATCTCGGGGATAATGGCACGAAATCACTCAATAGCCAGTGTTGCTGCTGTGACTCCCGCTGCTTTCGTTCTAGTGCTACTAGTGTCAGCGGCCGCGCAGTATTGCCGGGCAATGTTGTGCAAGGCAACATTGAAGAGACATGTTCTGCTTGAGGCGGGTAATTTGAAGTGTGCTAACCCGATGAGGACCACTAAAACGAGATTTTATTTCAAAATAAGCACTTTCATGGCACAAAAGTAACACTACGAGGTTTCTGAATCGGTATTTCAACAATCAACGAGGACTTATGAGTTGAGTTGCCTTTAGTGTCCCTTTAAGCTATGGTTTAAATGCAGGCAAAACAGATTACGCGTGCATGTCTCTGCTTGCCCAGTGGTGAACTCCGTACGCCAGCTGCTCCCTGCGGATGCGGTCATCGTGTACTTCAAGCTTGAGCTCGTCCGAACGGCCAATGACACCGATGACAACTCGCACGAGGGGGTCTTTGGCGAGTTCCTGTTCCACGTCGAGCCAGCCGCGCGACCTGTGGCAAGCGACGACGACCAACAGCAGCCATCGCCGCCACCGGAGAGTCTTGTCTCAGGGTCAGCATCATGGTTACGGCTCAAGCTCTGTTTTCAGAGCTTGTTTTTTTTGAAAATTGGAAGGCGTTTTCGGAGTTTGATATTCGTCGTTTATGAGAGTTTAGTACCCCTATAGTACTCCTAAGTGCCAAGTTCTGCGAAATCTGCAGTTCAACTTCGCATTAATCTCAGTACTCTGATATCTTAGATGGAAGTATACCTGAACACGAAAACATCAACACACGAAGCCTATCTTAGTAGTCTCAAAGGTTTCAATGTACAAATACATGTCACGTACACCTTATACGAGGTTCGTATGTTCGATGTTGTCGGGAGCACCCGTCAAGGGACTGTAATTTAAATATCGTCTCGCGCTTCCAGCGATCCTGCGTACGTTGACGTCCCTCGCTCCGCGCGCGACAATCCCTTTGTGAAATGCGCGATGGTCCACAAGTCTAGTTACTTTCCACGAGTGGGAACGCTTATATCGGCCCAACCGTCCGATGTATCACCCATCAGTCACTAATTAAGATGGACTATCAAAAACGCGTAAAGTTAGCGTCGCATCTCTCCAAGGCACTCAGCATTACATTCCAAGAAAAAAAAATGAAGTGATGTGTTGTTTTGTGTGAGCTTCAGTATATACAGTTCATTATTGCGTAACTAATCATCCTACTACTCTGCCACTAGTCAAGTTCAGTAGTCACATAAAAATAATCATTTATTTGGCCCAAAATGCATGCAGAGTTTCTCTTTTGGTTGTATTCATTGCGACCGCAGAAAAAAAAATACTTTTCACATTGGTCCTAAAACGCGGCACGTCCAACGGTCGTCGAACATGGTAGTGTCTCCAACAGAGTAATCATCTGCAGCAATATGAAGCAAAATGAAATATATGACTGATATTTATCCACTCGGGAAGCGTGGAGAAAGGTGCACACCGAGTTTCAGGCTATTTGAAGAAACACGCAGCGTGTGATGCACCTTCGAAGTTCGCGCACACAAATGTGTACGCAGTGACTGAAGGAGAAACACACCCTGTTAATGATAAATGAAACAGGGTAGTATTGGACGATAAAATCGGAGTTTATCGAATAAATTCGAATTGTCAAATATTTTATGAGTGAGTGTTTATCGGATTCCTCCAAGTTTATCTGATAACATGGAACCCTATACAACTGAGGCATATACAAGCTGCTGCCTGCGGTTGAGTGGCCGATACGGGTTACTGAAAAGGATGAAGCGCTATCACCCTACAGACCTCCATCGTATACCATATGCAAGGTCTTGTGGAATGCGTAGATAACTATGCATTTCATCTGTCTGCTTTGATTACCGGAATAGTTATTGCAGTGAATGGTAAGGTTTTAGATTAACTATTAAAGTCATGACTTTAGAGGATTCCTAAACAATTAACTTCAGAAAAATCAACAGGGATATTATGCATGGCACTTCCCGTCTTTTCGGCAGAATTCGTCGTGTCAGCTCTTTGTCTACGTGACTTCATGTATAAATGAACTCTCGATCAGTTCATGTACGAGGGATATCATTTGTGAATCGTCTTCTACTTTGCAATTTTTATGCAGTCGTGCGACTGTTCTACCTTGTCTCCCATGACTATCAAGCACGAGCAACTCATTTTTCACTTCGGTTTTTGCACTGTCACCTGCACAAGCCGAAGTACCAGTGTTTAGTCGAAAAGCACGAAATCCTGATACGTTCCCGCTTAGTGTTGGCATGGTCCACGTGTTTTATGCTGATATGAGTAGCGGTTATGAGACAGCGCCGGTAAGAATTGTATTGAAGGTGAAAAAAAACTTTTATGTAAAGTGAAAGTAATTTAAGGGCCATTCAAAAGGGTCCTGCAACACTTTTCCAAGTCATCGAATGGCCTCATTAGCTTTTTTTCACTTGGGAATAAAGAAGAAGGCGAGAAAACAGAGATGCAGTTAACAAAATCTTCTTTCGCATTCTCCATATACTCGGGATTTGAAGAAATCGACACCTGATGTCATATCTTGGCGCCAGCAAGGACACTTTTTCATATCTGGACGGGAAATAACAAAAGAAAATTATATCTTTTGAAACGAGCTAGCTGTCAAAAACGACTGTGTGATTTATAAAAATAGAGTTATACCAGAACGCTTTTTTTTAAATTTTAGTATCGCACTGCGTGGCTTCCCAAAACAATTCAACACCACTCATTGGAAATACTTGAGACCCTAAAGTGAAATGTTGAACACTCTGTGAAGTAACGTGTTTAGTGCTACACTGTAAATTAAAAATATGCTTTAAGTCTCTGCTGTGTTGAAGCAGGAGTCGTTTTTAAAGCTTTTTGTCGTGCTTTTTTCGCCTATTTCTTAGTCAATAACAGCATGTCATCACTGCCACCTACGAGAGGTGGTGCTACGAGTAAATGTATCCAAAACCTGGTCATGCCAGCACGAAGTAAAACAATAATTGCGAAGAAAAGGGTGCTTTTCAAAAGTAAAAGAATAGGCCTCCAATGAAAATGTCTTAGTTGCAAGTATGGCGAAAATATTGCCGATGAATACGAGTTCTGGCCTTAAGTGATCAAGATATTTTCAATGATTCTCAAAGGCCAATAGCACGGCTTTTGTTCAAAATACTTAGTATGCAAAAAACTATTAAATTCAATAAATAACGCGATTTGGCTTAAGCTGACGCTCCCTACGTATGTTGTTTTGCTTGTACACCAGTTTTCAATGTGGACTTTTGCTGATCAATCTTGGTATAGCAGGGGCATATCCAGGGGGTGGCACATAAGACATGTGCCTCTCCCCCGGAATTTTTTTCGCCAGGGCATGGAGAGAGAAAATGGCCATTTTAAAACGCTCCCACACCCGACATCAAGGTGTTGCCCCCCTCCCCCCCAAAAAAATTTTGCTACGCGCCTAGTATAAGACGCTCTTGAAATATACGAATAAACATACCCGTCAGCCACGTTTAGTCTTTCTTGTTTAAGGTTCAAAACAGGCCTTACGTTTCGGCACCCATTCGGTCTTTTTTTCGGCCACTGAGGTCTGAAGCTCGCGCTTTTCGCCCCGCCACGGTGGTCTAGTGGCTAAGGTACTCGGCTGCTGATCCGTAGGTCGCGGGATCGAATCCCGGCTGCGGCGGCTGTATTTCAAATGAAGGTGGTAATGTTGAAGTCCCATGTGCTCAGATTTGGGTGCACGTTAAAGAACCCCAGGTGGTCCAAATTTCCCGAGCCCTCCACTACGTCGTATCTCATAATCATGTGATGGTTTCGGGACGTTAAACCCCACATATCAATCAATCAAAGCTCGCGTTTTTTATATGTGGTTGTCTCCCTCTCCACCACCGTTCTTCTCGTTGTTCTTGTTACTGCGTTGCTGTGTGGCTGGAGAGTCTGCTCAATTGTATAGTTTTCACCAGCCAGACAGATCTCTGTCAAATATGTTCGCCTCTAGTCTCTTCGAGAGTTCGCCTCTAGTCTGTTCACCGACCTCCTATATAAAGGTCACAAGGACGCGAGTTTTCAAAGTCACTGTGCAGTTTGCTGTTCTGTAATCTGTTTTATAAGTAACCTCCTCGAACGTGGACACAGATAGTGAAGACGTTAAGATGAGTTTGTTTTCTCATGAATCGTCTGCCGCAACAATTTGTAGAATCCGTCAAGTGGGAACGTAGTAAATGGATTTGCAGCACGCTTTAACACCTTCAGCCCTCCTTGGGGGCCATAAAGAGCACGCTGAAAGCTATAGAGAGGAGAGAGGGCAAGGGGGCAAGAAGCAACGCCCGTTCATCAGCGCACGTCATTACCGTATACCATTTTAACTTTTATTTTTTCGAGCACGCCGAATACCTGCCTCCATTGTGATTGCGAGTGCGTGCGAAGGCAAGTGGCGGCGTCCTGCGGTGACCGCAGGTAACTCTGTGGCTCAAGATGCTTAAATCAGCCAACGGAAATTAACTTTGGTTTTATGGCGCCATCATTTCGGTTTACCACACTTTTTGTCGAGAGAAGAGCCAGCGATTTCTAGTTGATTTGAAGAATTTGTTGGGAATTCTAAGCCGCGTATAGCGATGTTTGAATCACGTGTTCTCAGGAGCCTAAATTAGCAGCATTTTCTGAAGGTGAAATCAAGTTCCTTAGTCGAAAGCTGTGGATCCGGGCTGGCGTTTCTCGCTTCACCATTCTTTAAAATACAGCAGGCGTCTATACTTCTGAAGACTTTTCATTCGAGAGTTGATATCTCTAAACTATATTACTCTGATATAATAGACGCATGCATAGAAAAAGACGGCACCTCCTATCAGACTGCGTAGAAGATGAAAAAACTATCCTAGGAGATTTATCAGAGGGAGAGAATCTCTTTGCTTATCCAGCAAATTATGGAAGTACAATGTAGATCCTTGCTTGCAAGGTCAATTGAAAGTAGATCCTTGCTTGCCAAATGAACAAGGCGCATTGGTAAAGGTAAAAAAAAAAGACCAATGAAGCAGCAAAGGACACCTCTTTCTGCAACCCGGCTTCAGGAAGCCCGGCTCAACGTCATGGCGAATATACAGTTTCTGTCAGTTTGCAATTGTCAAAAGATAGCTGCTTGATGACGAGGAGAAAGCAGCTGTCATGTAAGTCGCCCCAAATACAAGCGTCAGTCAATGAGCTTGTCCAACATATATACTCGATCGATTCATCGTCTGGGCGCAGCCAAGAGTTGGGCCACCCTTCCGAAAGTGAGCCGATGCCACCACGACGCGCGCCACGCGGTCCGGTTGCCACTACTGCTGATGCCGGTGCGCCTGTCACAGCAGAACAACCCGCGGCGACAAATGCACCCGCTGTGGCTGACGCCCCTGACGCGGCACCCGCCGCTGCGGTGCCGCCGGCTGCGTTGCCTCCTGTTCTTTGGCCGCGTCCCCGTCACCCACCGACGGGCAGAGGTTGCGGCGCCGTCTTCCATAACGTGCTGCCCGGCGTGCTGGTGTTCGAAGCCCTGCACGTGACCGAAGGTACTCTGGAGGCGGACGTCGCCAACTCCTGCTTTACGGAGGAATACAGCGGCAGGGTCATCAAGGTGAAGTGGTTGCACATCTGTATGCTTTTTGCAGACAACCTTAATTGCTGCTATAAGTAATTAAACGTCACGGCTGTTCACTTTTCGCATTATTTTGTGTCATCTCTAGTGTGGCCTCTTTTCTACAGTGCTGCACTGGACGACTTCATAATCATTTTGATGCCCGTCGGTGCGTCACAGAACTTTAAATCTATCTATAGTATATACGTAATACTGCAGTTTTTCAGACAAGGGTAGCGCCCCCGGTCTGCAAAGTTTTGGGTAGAGCCAAGCCCGAATTTCATGCACAGTTTCTTACGCATTCAGGGGCAACTTGCGCTAGTGAAACAATAATTGAGCATAATATTAGGTGTGTTTGCACATTTAACAATAAAAAATATAGCTACGAATTTCTCTCCGCTAGTCGGACGCGTCACCGAACCGCCATGACGTGCTTGCTGGTTCACTCGCCAGAATGTCGGCGAAAACAAGAACAACCGCAACAGCTAGCTCCACGCTCTACGAATAAAGACATCAGTCCAGGCTACTGTTGCGTTGTGAATGGTGACGTACGTAAAGGACTTCAGTTTCACCGATTGCCGTAGCTGTCGCGAAGCAGAACTGTGAGAGCGCTGGATACCGGCCATTGCGAACGTGTTGCTTGAGCGAATATCTCGCGTTATGCACAGGCCGTCGCATGAGAAATTGAGATAATGTAGATTTCCTGTGACTGCTTTGAGCAGCATTGATGAAAAACCGTGGTAACATTGAATAAGAAGCTCAACAGAGCTGCTGACCATGGTTTGTGTGATGCAACAGTATACTGGTGTCGCGCGCGATCAACATCGCACACGCCACGACTACAGTCCGCTACCACCGATAATCTGAGGGGGTGGCTGCTAGAAAGCATCACGCAGTCAGGATTTGAAGGTTCTGAGTTCCGCTTTTAATTAGCAAATGTGAACGCACACGTTATACAAGTAAATCGCAAAGTGTTGGTCGTGACAACAATCAGGTTGTTGTTTTTTTCCGTTGGTCTCTACGATTGTCGCAGCTATCTCGAACGCGTAGGTATTTATTGCGTTATGTTGCACACCGAGAAAGTGGGCACACGTGTATTCCAATTTGCAGTATATACGAACGGAAGACTATCGTCAGCAGCACATTTCAGGATACGTATTAAAACAGTTCAACGCACAGGAAGCGAGAGATAGATGGAGAATGCAACTTGAAAGGCGAAAATTGCCGGGGTCTTTCGTGCCGGATAAAGAGGCTTCGTACAATTGATCGTAAGATACATTGCTTGTGTATGCACTTCATTGCTTCTTGTGTGTGCACAGATTCACGCATTTAGGCGTTACAGAACGCACGTCAAAGTGGTTGTCTCTAACTTGATGTAATGCGATGGTGGCTTGCACTTAGACTGCGAGTCGCAGCATGTCGCAATAAGTGAAACATCTTTTGCATTGTACCCTCCGTTCGCTTCGATGATCTCCGTGCTTTGTTGAAGTGAAGTTATATTGACGGAAGCTTGCCAGCTCCCTAATTTAAATGAAACCACGTCTCAACACCAACGAAAGAGAAAGGCCTATGCACGTTCGCTTGACGACAGCTCCCTTTGCACTACCCAGCTATGGCCAGCGTGGTGATGAAGCCGCTGGTGGCAGCGTTTTTCGCATTGCCGCCTGGGCAGAGTCTGACATCTATATGCGAGGAGCTCATCAACAAGTGCATAAAGACGCAAGAAAGTGTGTCCAGGTATGGAGCACGCTTGGCGGACGACTAGTGTGCCCCGTACCTCTACTTAGTCGGACCTGCCCATTATTATTTATTGTACATGGTAATAGATGCACATCTTTCTTCCCGGTAATTGCAGCCGAAAACCCTCAATGTTTCAAAGAAGTGTTTACGTCCCGCCTTTAACATAAAAATCTAAAGACTAATGGTAGGCTTTCGTGAGAAGCACGTCATGACTACATTTTCACGTTTGTACTCCTTGCGAAGCTTATTTTCTTTTGGTCTTGATTAACGGAAGGGGGGATAGGGGACTGCAGTGAGTCTTCCCCTGACCTTTCAGTGAAAAGCTCTGCGCACGCCCACGCTTCAGTGGCATGCCTGCTCAAAACCGTCGGCGGACTGGCGCTGCAGGTGATGTCGGTGGCCATCTTCAACGCGATGCAGAGCAACCGACTGGACCCTTTCATGCGCATCTTAGGTGACAGCTTTGGTCCGACGACCGACACCATTGCAGTGGCGTTCCCCCGGAACCAGGACGAGGCGCGACTCGAGCTCGATGCCTTCGAGCGCCGCTTTCCACGGGTGCCGGCACTGGCCAATCAGGCCACGGAATTCAACGTGGATGGGCAGTTCGCGCCCATTGGCCGCCTCAAACTCATTCTGCTGCTTATCAAGCTGCAAGAGTGATGAGGTACGTGCAGCCTTCACGCCATAATATGGAGCCATTCTGCTCTGTGCACGCGAAATCGAACGAGAAAAGCGTCAACGTTTGCAGCCCAATTTAAGAAGTCCGTACTGGCCCCGCCTAGAAGACTAAAGTATGGCAGCCGATCACCTTGGGTTCTAAAGTAGTAGAAGCAGTATTAGAGCCGCTCGTGCATTGAGCAATACTCTATGAAGGCTGTCCGATTTAATGGGCATGCACTCGGCAGTGTGTGCCCATTGCATGCTCATCTGCCTTTGAGAAGAAAATGCCGTGCACTTGTAAAGCTGTATTCGGGCTTATTTCGGCCAGTTGGCTCATGTCGGCAGAAAACAAAATGCAATAAAAGACCAATTCGACCTTCCTGCTTGAAGATGCGAAGACGAAGGCATCCCCCCCTCAACTCTTTCTTTTTAAATGTGTTTCTGTGATGATATAATTGAAAAAATTAGCTGCTTCTGTTGCCGACTTCTTTTTTCTTAACGTTGCCTGTTTCAGAACATATTATTAACGCATTCATTTCGAGGCAATAATTTACATGCCCCTTCACGCATATCACGTCACCTAAGTTGTCAGTATTCAGTGCATTTCCGCCCATTCGGGCATACGCAGTGACACAAGTTGCGGTAGACTGCCAAGAGAGCAGCCAACAGCTCGCACTCACAAGATGCAATATACTCTTTTTAGTGCACCTGCGAACACTGCCAAGAAAGTCATTTTATTAGGCTTTTTTCTTTCGTACAAATAAATCTCGGGTGTAAGGATGAAAGGTAGCTGTGCTCGTCCTGACGAAGCCCATGTTTTCTAATGCACAGCCATGGAGAATGCAGCCACCATATCATTACACACCATCAACACATGCTAGGACATAGTCTTTTCCCTCGTTTACTTGTAGTATTCTCCCCACTTTGTCATGCCTAATAATGAGCGGAATGTGTCGATTGCGATATGTATATAGGGGGATGGTGTGGCTAAACAGCGCTGATAACCACACAACTTCGAACTTTATGTCACACAATAACATTCAAAGTGCTAACGGTCGAAACGCATTGCCAGGTCTACTAGAGCATCTTATTCAGAAAACAAAATATGCACATTCGCGAACAAAAGTTTGGATATCGCACAAGCAGTCTGAAATCAAGAAGTACAAAACTATACGCTGCAGTGAGCTATTATTGCACAGCTCACGTGCACCTTTTAGATCAATGCAACAAGCCTGCGTTATGTTTTTCCTTCCTTTTCTTAGCCAATGTACCACGGGAGCAATGGCTATTCATACGCGTAATACGGTCACGTTTTCACCTGTAACTGCATAATACGAATTCAGTTACTATAGTATTGAGCGTGAACTGACGAGTCATATGAGGTGTATGTTGATTGTGGTTTGCGTGGCGTCGAGCGTTGGTGCTTCATAATACAGGTGACGGTGAATTTAACAACGCACCCGCATTTTTTTGTTGTTTCATTTCGTTTATTACACCTGAAAAGCCCGAAGGCATTACATAGGTGGGATTGGGGAGGGCATAAACGTGTTTCACAACAGCACAATCTAGGCAATAGGTAACTAATCAAACAAAAGAAAGAGTACGAACAAATGTAGCTTGGCATGATTGTCTGTTAGGTCTCATTAATATTGTGTGCAACAAAGAAAACGAGCCCTTAACTTCTTTCCTTCATTCACTGTAAGGGTCTCGTTCTGGCAGACTTGGTGCCTTCAGGTATAGAGTATACGAAGAATTATATGTCAGTTGTTAAGTTCACTTGCTACATGATGCCAAACAGGCAGGTAAAGATTATCCCACACTCGCCGTTATGGCTGCATGCCGGCGTCGCTGACTGACGCTCTTTCGTCTAATGCACATATACCTGATAAAGTGGACGGGAGCACAGCCGCTGTGGAAGCTCAGTTAGTTAGTATGGAGAGCTCTGGACCAGTTATTCGAGAGTCACATGTTTAGTCCCCTGCCCACGGCAAGTCATGTTTTCGCCCACTTTTGTTTCTTGACATTTACATTATATAACTACTTCTAATAACATTCCCGATACTTTATTTGGCATGATTGTCTGTTAGATCAATTTAATTTTGTCAAACAAAAAAAAAACAAGCGCTTCAATGTACACCTCTTTCCTTCAGATAAAAGGACACGTTAACCATGCGGTATGGTAGGCGCATATTGTCTGAGCAAATGAGCGTTGGTTCTTTGCGAAATTTCGGTTAGTTCTTCGCAAATGGGCCAGTTAGTTCTTCGCCGTTCCTTATGTTAACAATTAGGAAACAATGCAATCAGAAAAATAAAATGCTTCGGCTTTCTTTTATTACGTGCTGCGTTTCCTCTGATTTTTTTTTTCAATTTTTTTTTAGGCTCGAGAACAGAACTTGGAACTGGGAGGCGGCGCTCACCGTCTAACGAGGGCCCGATGGTGCACGTAAAGTGGAAGAAAAAATATAGAACAAGAGAAAAAGTGCAGCGTGTCATACTTTCTTCTTTGCTAAGCTTTACGCATATGTGCGTGTGTGTGTGTGTGAGAGAGAGAGAGAAGGAGGCAGAGAGACCGACTTATAAGTGCATACGGGATGGGTTGTTAAAGAACAGTCCGAATATCCTCGGAAATATTTCCTGGCTACCTTTATGAAAACTTTTTTACTATGGTGGCAAACATCTTAAGCTGAGTAGTTACGTTAATTACTGTATTATTAAATTACAATTCATACCAAGAGCTTATTGCCGCTATCAGTGCTCCAAAAAAATGGTCACTGGTAATTTTTGCAGAGTGGTCGAATTTGAAAGTTTATGTTTGGTGCTCACAGGCATAAAGTTAGTATACCGTGTACATGTGAATGTTCTTTTATTCCACAGTTGCCCCACTTCAATTAAAAATCTGCCGCTTTTAAAAACTGCAACGTGCAGGCTTCTTCGGCTACCTGTATGTTGACTTCACATGTCTAACAAACGATGGCTAACCTCCCTGTCCTTCCACTTAAACTTTCCTCCTCCTCTTAACAAGCGATATGGGGGTAGATATACTCTATAATGAGGCGGAGGGCTAGGAAGCAGTGGAACTGGTGACCATACTCCTCCGTTCTTTCCTCCTCACCCTCGCAGCACTGTTCTTCCATCTCACTTCCCACTACAACCCCACGGCGATTCTATGCTTTGCGCTCTCCCATCCTGATTTCCCTCCTCCATCTTACACTGCTCTTTCCCACCTTCCCACCACTTTCCCACCACTTTCTCGTTATACTTCTAAAGCACGTTGGTGGGCTCCTTGGGTCGCATCCATGAAGAGTGCGTAGCACAGCATACGAGGAACGTAGAGGAAGCCGGGAAGGACACAGCGCTACTTTCATCTAATAATCGCACTAACCGATGGATATACACCGAGGGAGCGGAAATGACAGGAGGCTCATTTCAAGTCAAGTATACCCGGTCAATATTCCACAATCTCCGATCATGTCGAAAAAAAAATGGGCAGGTATATGTGAATGTGAAAAGTAGTTGGTCGGGCGTTATATTCGCAAACAAAAAACTGTTCCTACAGGGCGCTTCAAACTGTGGGCACCCAAGGTAAAATGTGTCATGCTAAATAATTTATAAATTACTCGTTTGATAAATTGTACGAAACATTTTTTCTAATCTCAAAGCTCTCCTGCCAGATGAATGTGATAATTATTTCATTTTTCTTTTAACTTTCTTTGTTTTTCACCTTTATTTTACTCGCAATTTTTTTTTACTTGTTATCATGATTCGGGAGTGACTCATGGGAGCGACTTCGGGAGCGTGAATACTTCGGGAGTGTCTGACGCAAATATATTGTCATAATATATTGACAAAGTTGCGAAAAATAAAATTTTGACTGATACAACAGCTTACATTTCGCAATGTAGTGGTGGAAGTAAAAAAAAATCACAGCATATTTATGGAGTGACTGATAAGTCGGGCGAAGCGTCCGTCAGCCCGTCCATGCTTCCGTCCGTCCGTTCGTTTTTGCATCCGTCCGTCCGCACAACCATCTGTGCGTCCATCCATGCGTCCGTCCCTCTGCCCATACGTCGATCCGTCCGTTAGTCCATGCGTCGGTCCATCTGTCCGTCTGTCTTCCAGTATGTCTGTCCATCCGTCCATGCATCCATCTAGTGAACACTCCAAGTACTTTATCTTCCATCTCGCATCCCCTGTGGCACATACCCGCTTTTGAGCGGATATGTGCCACCTGTGGCTACGTACGACAACGGAGGATGAACAGACCCACGCCTCAAGTAGCTTCACTTCCAAAATTTGGCTTATATAATGATGCAAAGTAGCAAGGTATGCAGAAAGTTTCAGAAGATTAGCTTTTGTTTTTAGGGAGAAAAAAAATCCACCTGAACAACCACAAGGTAGTGTGAAGCTTGCGTTTGCCTCATCTTCGCTGCATAGTACGTCAGCACAAGTTTCCAGCGGGCGCTTTTGAGCAGTGAATGATGCATGTCATGCAAGTGCTTGTCACTTGTTTTAGCAATAACGCTGTATATAACGTCAAAAAATAAACACTGTTTATTTTACGGAACGGTGTCTTCCCCCTTGGGTTATCAAAGGCCAGGATTTATTCAACGGCTTCTTAGTACCAGGGTGCCTCATTATAATGCAGTCTATGACCTGCGATACGTTATTGGGGTGTTTTCTTTGGTTTCTGATAGTTATTACACAAGTTAATAATAATAATAACGACATAGTTGCAGTAAAGGTTACGGGATCAAATGCCGGCTTCGGCGGCTAAATTTTCGATCGAGCCGAAAAGGCTGTAGCCCCGTGTGCTCAGGCTTTGGTGAACGTAAAGGAACCCCCTGGTGGTCAAAATTTCTGGATCCCTCTACTACCACGTCTCTCATAATAATATGATTGTTTCATAACGTTAAATCCCACCTAATAATATTAGTTTACTTAAGGTATTTTTATGATGTTTCCTGCATAGGCCGATGCGTGATCGCATACCACTGGTTTGG